TCTCCGACTCAGGGGCATGTTTGGCTAGAAGGTGATAACAGATATAATTCTACAGATTCGCGGATATATGGACCAGTACCTCAAGGATTATTACGTGGACGAGCTTTATGTAAAATATTTCCACTGAAAGATATAACTATGTTTACAAATAAATACGCGACATAAATTAATTATGAAAAAGAAATTTGTATATTAGAAGAATTACAAGAAAATTGAATTAAAATTTTAATTAGGTTAGTTTATTTTTAAAATAAAAGATTACACGCGCGCACACACGCATAATATGTGTATACACACACACACACACACACACACACAAGATTTATATTTTCTTACATTTCCATCCAAAAATACATGTCCGTATTTGTTTTATTTATTGAATTTATTTTATTCAAATATATATCTTTTATATATCTTGTAAATTTCTTTTACAAACTATTTACATTTGTAGAATAAATTATTTTTCAGATAAATTATACATAAATAAAATATTACATACTTTAAATGATTATAACAAATAGAATGAGATTATATTGGGATGAGATGGGAAGAGATTAAAATTTTTAAAAATAGTGTGGAAAAGTACGACCATGATAAATCGACTATTTTTAATGACTTTAATCAGCGCGACGTATTGCACATCGAAGTCACTTGAAAATGAATGGAGTTAGTATAAAGCCGGTATAAGCGGCATCTCTGCTTGCAAAACGGTTAGTATATTCCAGATCGTGGTGGTAAACATATCCTTTCTGTAAACGTAATTTTCTTCGCATTTAGTGATATTGAAGGTATGTTTAAAGCATTATCGATTTTTCTTAGGAGAGAACATTTTTGAAAATCGAATGTAATTCTAATTTTTATCAACTCTGATTGTTTTGAACTTCTTCGATTTCGACCAGTCATAGCGAGACTGATGCAATCTATTTGAACTAATTCATCGAACGTGCTCCATTTTTCGGAGCAGTCGGCGATCCAGCACTCTCTCTTTAGTCGGCGGTCGAGACAAACGTCTTCTCCGCGAGGGTCAAAGCCGAAGTCGAAGTTAGTCGAAACTAATCATGTAAAGTCGATATCGTATCGTTGTTCAGTCATGCGTTCTTCGAGATTTTTATAATATAGATTCTGTTCAGGGGATCAGTTATGTAACTTTACGTGAAATTTTTCACTTTTTACTTTTCATTTTTCACACTTTGACATTTCACGTGAAACTTTTCACGTACAGCAATTATGTATGTAGCTTGGATGCGTGAAAAGTGAAATCATGAAACATAGTTTCATAGGTTTTATAGCTAATGAAAATTATTTTATTGATACAGTATTATATACATCTTTTAATAATCAATTGTATACGTACACTTAATCCTAACGCAGCCCTAATTTTCTCTAAGTGTCGGTCCACAATAAGTATTTAATTTTTAAACCGTAAGAAATTGACCAATCATAATCGATTATTTTTTTCATATTCGATTATAATTGGTCAATTTCTTACTTTTTAAAGCTTAAATCATCTATTATGGACCGACACTAATTCCGAAGAATATTTATTAATTCCCTAGATTTCCGCTTTTTCGCCACCAAGATACATGGCAAAAAAGTTCGCGTGAAAAATTTCACATTTTCACGTTTGAGAGAGTTATATAATCTCGCAAAATCGTACATAATCGTAAGTTCACGTGAAACTTTTCACTTTTCACGTTTCCGCCCTAGGGGAAAAGTTACATGATCGACCCCCAGACGTTAAAATATATATTCTAGTGTTTTCTTTAAAATTGTGCCGCTGCATTAAAAGACCAAAGATCCCGCCTTTTTCTGCTCCTGTGACCGCCACATGGCGGACGAATTCATCTTGTGCGCGCGCTTAAATATAACGGACATTGTTTAAAAATAATCGAATTCGAATTCCTGACAAACGGTAACTTTATTCAAATTCAAAGACAGTTGTAACAAATAGTTTACACATATGTTATACACAAATATACACAAAGCATAATATTTGTATAATGTTAACAGTTGATAGTATCATTTTTTGCGATGTAATTTTTAGATGACTACTTTACGATGGGGTATTGCCAGCGCAGGAAAGATTTCGCACGATTTTGTGTCAGCATTGCGAGCTTTGCCAGCAAATGAGCACGATGTAATCGCCGTTGCGGCGCGGCAATTATCGCGTGCGCAAGATTTTGCAAAGCTTCACGAAATTAAAAAGGCCTACGATGATTATGCGAAATTGGCCGTGGACAAAGATATCGGTACATAACGATACTGGCAATTTTGTAATTACAATAATGATTCAATTACAATATAATTAAAAAAATATAACTATACTGTTTCTTTTATCAATTAAAATTTTTGTATAAGCACCAAATATATTTGTACGATATGTTATGTTTCAAGATATCGTGTACATTGGTGCGATTCATCCTCAACACTTTGATATTGCGATGTTGATGTTAAAGCATGGTAAGCATATCCTGTGTGAGAAGCCATTGACGATGAACTTGAAGCAGACTACCGAATTAATTAATTACGCGAAGAATAAAAATCTTTTCTTAATGGAGGCTGTGTGGAGCCGTTGTTTCCCTGTGTATGATACAATCAGAAAGGAGATTGCATCTGGTATCATTGGTGACATTCATCAAGTGATCGTTCCTTTTGGTTTCCGAATGCCCGACGTGGATCGAGTGATGTTCGTAATATTCAATTTTTTAATATCTATGAGGCGATTAATTAATCGATTTCGCATTTATTAATTTACAGTTTGAAAGAACTGGGTGGTGGTACGATTCTTGATCTCGGAATTTATTGTCTGCAATTCGCCTGTTTAATCTACGACAACGAAATGCCAGAGAGCATTAAAGCGTCAGGGTTCCTGAACGAAGATGGTGTCGACATGTCCATGTCAGCTACTTTGACCTACAAAGGGAATCGCACCGCGACTATCATGACACACGCGTTGGTCACTTTATCAAATGAAGCGTACGTCTGTGGCACCAAGGGTATGATAAAAGTAGATAAGTTTTGGTGTCCGACAAAAGTGGAGCTGCCAAGTGGCACAATGAAGGCACCACTGCCAAAACTAAAGCATGAGACTAACTTTATCAATTCCGCCGGTTTGTGTTACGAAGCTGCCGAAGCTCGAGATTGCATTCTGAAAGGTAAAGGTTCTGTCGACATATCATTTAATCTGAAAGTTTAAAATTTAAAAACTTGAAAGTTCATAAATTACTAGCGTCTACAGTTACTTTTAATAATTTCTCTAAATTACCTTTAATAATTTCCATAATAATAGAATAATTGATTTTTCATAATGTAACGTACTGTAAAAATTTATGTTCAATTCCGTAGGTTTGACAGAAAGCCCGAAGGTATCGCATGAGACATCCTTATTACTGGCGAAACTGGAGGACGAACTACGCAGACAATTGGGTGTTGTATATTCTCAGGATTAAAGAACTTTTTTCAAATAAAAATTTTTCTATCTCTATTCATGAAATCCAATACTGTTTCAATATAATCTTATCTCTAAATGTATAATTTGATAACAATTTCTAATGAGAATTTCTCGTGTGAAGTATAACAGCTTTCTGATCGCGAATTTATAAATAATAAATCATATCATATTTGAATTGTATTAGTATCATAAGTGAAAGAGATATATATATATATGAATACATCTACTTGTTCTGGGATTTCACGCGATCTTTAAAACAAATATGAGGCCCATCCCCCCCCCCCCGCTGCGAACGTGTCTCGCCTCATGCTCCATTTTTTTTATCTTCAAGTTTGTTGAGTCAGTTTGAATCGATTTGAGTTACTGAACGGTATGGTATGAATATAGTGCTGCTTAATCTAATCAGCATTAATCTAATTTTAATATAACCTAACCATTTAATATATGTATATATTAATTTATTTTAATTTTCATTTTATCACCAAAAATAGAAATCTTACAGAAGGAGGAAATAATTACTTTTCAGATTAAGCAACTAGATTAACAATATGTAGGTTCTGATATTTTGTATAGGCATATTAACATCTTTCTTAATTTCCTTTATATCTCGAATTAGTGATGTTGAAGGTATGTTTAAAAAATATTTTTCTAAGAGAAAGTTTCTGAAGTCAAGGTATGTAGAACTATTGGATTCTGACCGAAATTTGATTATTTTCTAGATTTCTATTGTGTTTTTTAGGAGAAACAGAATAATTCCGATTGGAATCTATTCCGAATTTTCATAATGCATATCTAGATGTATCTTTGTCTAACGCCTAGAATCATTCTTGAAACATATGACATATGAAAATTCTACAATATATGTCACTGTAGAATTTTTGTATGCAATGTTTCAAAAATAAGGTCCTATATCAGATATAGAGATTGAAATTAAAATTAAATTGGAATTTAAAGTTCATTAAAAGTTCATTAAAGTTGAAATTGGTTTTCTTTTTTCCAATTGACTAAATTTCAATCTGATTACAGATGTTATAAAAGTTTTTTTTACAATTAGACTTTCTATTTTAGACTCTTAATATTAAATAATTTTGTTAATTTTTCGTATGAATTTCATATGTAACTCTGAATGTCTTAAACTTCTCAAAATGATTTTACTCATCAAGCTTACATGTTATGTACGTAAAGATGGAATATTTGCATAACATCAAATTGATTATTTTTTACGGTGATTTAGATGACTATTCTACGATGGGGTATCGTCAGTGCGGGGAATATCTCGCATGATTTCGTGTCAGCATTGCGAGCTTTGCCGGCAAATGAGCACGATGTAATTGCCGTTGCGGCGCGGCAATTATCGCGTGCGCAAGCTTTTGCAAAGCTTCACGAAATTAAAAAGGCCTACGATGATTATGCGAAATTGGCCTTGGACAAAGATATCGGTACGTAACGATATTGGCAATTCTACGATAATGACTTAATTATGATGTGATAATCAAAAAAAACATCTCCATAAGTATTATTTCTTTTATCAATTAAAATTTTTGTAGAAGCACCGAATGTGTATATTTTTACGATATAACTATGTTATATTTCAAGATATCGTGTATATTGGTGCGATCCATCCTCAACATTTTGATATTGCGATGTTGATGCTGAAGCACAACAAGCATGTCCTATGCGAGATTCCATTGACAATGAATTTGAAGCAGACCACCAAATTAATTAATTACGCGAAAAGCAAAAATTTGTTCCTGATGGAGGGCGTATGGAGCCGCTGTTTCCCTCTATATGATGTGATTAAGAAGGAGATTACATCCGGTACCATCGGTGATGTTCAACAAGTGATCATCTCTTTCGGTTTCGGACTGCCTGACATGGAGCGAATGATGTTCGTAATTCATCGATTGTTTTGGTTAGTATCCTAGAGGCGAGTTAGTTTATTGATTTCGAATTTATTAATTTGTAGTTTGAAAGAGCTGGGCGGTGGCACGATTCTCGAATTTAGTAGTTTCTGTCTACAATTGGCCTGCTTAGTCTACAACAATGAAATGCCACAGAGCATTAAGGCATCAGGGTTCCTGAATAAGGATGGAGTCGACACGTCTATGTCGGTTACCTTGACCTATCAAGGGAATCGCACCGTGACCATCATGACGAATATATTGGCCACTCTACCAAACGAAGCATACCTCTGTGGTACCAAAGATATGATAAAAATACCGGATTTTTGGTGCCAACAAAGGTGGAACTGCCAAGTGGTACAGTGACGATGTCACTGCCGAAACTAAAGCACGAAACTAAATACATCAATTCTGCCGGATTTTGCTACGAAGCTGCCGAAGTTCGCGATTGCATTTTGAAAGGTATATCTGTCGACATATATCATTCAAGCTGAGAGTCTAAATTTAAAAATTACTGGCATTTTAATAACATTTCTGCGATAATAGAATGATTGATTTTTTTGTAATGTAAAATATTTTATATGTTCAATTTCGTAGGTTTGACAGAAAGCCCGAAGATATCGCATGAGACATCCTTATTACTGGCGAAGCTGGAGGATGAACTGCGCAGACAACTGGGTGTTGTGTATCCTCAAGATTGATTATAAATTTCTTTTTTTTTCAAATAAAGATATTTTTATTTCTATTCGTGAAGTTTAATACTATCTCAATGTAATATCGGTATCCAAATACACGAAAATTAAGAATTCCTAATAAAGTTTCTTACGTGGAATATGATAGTGCTATCGAGATGTTTATACCATTGCAACGCTACTGCGCACGCGTGGAAGGTTTGTCCGATTATCTCACACTATCTTGCCACACTCCATCACACACACGGTCTTTCTCATATGCGGCTGTTTGCAGCCAGTCCGCGAGAGAATTGGAACTCGAAAACGAGATGTATGAAAATACTCGCGTGTCGCCGCGAGTATTCACGGCAATACAGAATGTCGATATCATGGAGCTGTCGTTGTGTTCCCACAAAGAGATCAGGCCCATCCTGCCCTGTTTGGTTAGGATGAGCCTCATCTCGCCGCTCGACATAACGAAGGAATGTGTGGAAGGTAGGAAGCAGGTTCTAACGATATTGTCCGGCATCGAGTCTGTTAATTCTATCATTGCCCTGCTGTCTATAGATTTTCATGCTCTCGAAACTGATGTTCGACAGGAGCAGCAGTTGAGGTTAGGATCTTGCATATTTTGTTTTTTACATATCGACGTTGAATTCGAAGTTTATCACTGAACAGTATTGTGTTACTGAATCCTTTACACTGTAATCATTTTTAAGTTTATATTGCTACACAGCTTTTATGTATCAAAGACGATTTTTTGTTTACATTTTCTTATTGTTTCCAGACAAAAACTTGGAAGCGCTCAACGAGACAGTGTACTGGCACAGTCCTTACAGAGTGGTCTGGCATTGGAATTCGAGCGCAGTGAATCCATTCGCAGAATCAGGCTAGTGCTCAGCGAGATCCTGTTTATAGCATCTCAAATACAGGAACAACAGAAAAATCAAGAATTTCAAATCAGACAATCGGATCTGTTTGATAATGCGGTCTATATGGAGGAGATAAGCTATGTGATCTGCATAGCTCTTGCCGAACTACCGACGTTACTATCAATATTGGACATTGCGGAAACTCTTCTACACGTTAAGCATGGACCTGATATTATTTGTTGGATCGTTGCCAATAGTCCAGATAGTTTCTCGGAAGTATGTGCACATCTTATCGCTAATGGGGAACGACAGGAGGAGTCTGCATTAGGTAGAATCAGGACACAAGCGATCACAATGCTCTGCCAGATGAATCCGAATCAAGCGTTAGCAATTAGAGCTAAATGTATAGAACTATGCCGAATGCCTGCACTGGCAATCACTTTGAGTTTAGAACATGAAAACGCCAATAGCTCGCAACCTGAAAGCGATGTTGTCGCTTTTGTTTCTGGTTTGTTACTTGGTAGTGATCAACAAGTACGTTCATGGATTGCTATGTTTATTAGAAATGGACAGAAACGCAAGTGGGAATCCCAGACGGCTCTACAGTCACTGCGCGAGGAGCTGCTCAAACGATTGCATACAATCGCGTCCCAAAGCACAGATAGTCAATTAGCAGAATCTCAAGTTGTGCAGGCGAGTGCGTTATTACGGCTCTATTGTGCTCTGCGAGGTATCGGCGGTATCAAGTTTCAAGACGATGAAGTTGCGATGATAGTGCAGCTTCTGACATCCCATCCACCACCATCGCCAGCTGGCGTCAGATTTGTATCTCTCGGCTTGTGCATGTTGATAGCATGTCCTTCCCTAATCGGACATCACAATTTAGAGAAACGCAGTATCGAGTGGGTGCAGTGGCTAGTACGTGAGGAAGCGTACTTTGAAAGTGCAAGCGGTGTCACTGCTAGTTTTGGTGAGATGCTGCTACTGATGGCAATTCATTTTCATAGTAATCAGTTGTCGGCAATCTGTGAGTTAGTTTGCGCTACACTCGGCATGAAGATACCCATTAGGCCAAACAATCTCACACGAATCAAGCAGATCTTTATGCAAGAGATTTTTACAGAACAGGTAGTTACCGCACATGCCGTTAAAGTGCCAGTTACGGCAAATCTGAATGCCAATATTCCCGGCTTTCTGCCAGTGCACTGCATCCATCAGTTGCTCAAATCAAGAGCATTTGCGAAACATCGAGTACCCATTAAGAATTGGATATACCGACAGATCTGTGCAAGTGTATCACCATTGCATCCGGTTCTACCGGCTCTAGTTGAAGTCTACGTAAATTCTATCCTGATGACGAACAACAAAACGTCTGAGCACACGAACAAGCCCATCACTGAAAACGAAATCCGTCAAGTATTTCAAAATAGCGTATTCGGGGCGAATTTCGATTTTAAAAAAAATCCTGTCAACGTTATGCAGATCGATGCTGATAATATGGACATTGACACATCAAAACCTTCACTGACTTCCCAGTTATTGCTGTTATATTATCTTTTACTGTACGAGGATGTAAGACTGTCCAATATGCACACATTTATATCGCAAGGCAGAAAAGTCAAATCGTATTCGACAGAGTTTCTATCTGAGTTACCTATTAAATATCTGCTGCAATTGGTCCAACGAGATCAGATGAACTATGCCAGTTTGTTCTCGCCGCTTCTCCGATTATTAGCTATACATTTTCCTCATCTGTCTTTGGTGGATGATTGGCTTGATGACGAGATGATCAATATAGATTCCGCCATTGCAAGCTATGAGAGCACGAAGATTAGTGACATCGCGATCGTCGAGGCGTTTAGTCACGTCAAAACTTGTCCATCGAGAACTGGTAGATTATTGAGGCAGTTGATGACATTGAAACCAACTGAAATTTGGCCTCATGCCGAGTTGATAATACATTATTTTAAAGACATTCTCGATGAGCAAGTTCCCAGATATATACAAGGTTTAATAATTATTTAAGGATTGCTGACTTTCTTTTAATTCATATTAAATATATATTGATATTAGTTAATTTGCATATTATTAATAAGAAATTCTTTTTAAATTTCAGAACTTTATAAACAAGTATGGCTCAGACTTAACACTGTGCTACCGCGTTGTTTATGGGTTCTTTCCATAAACGCACTGCTAATAGAAAATTCAATAGTGAAAAATGTCTTTTTAACACAAGATAATATTGTATTAGATCCATTACAAGTATTAAGATGTGACACAAGAGTTTTTAGATGCGCTCCGATTTTATCTGTGATACTGAGGTAAGCTCAGACAATATTATATTATATTAACTAAAATAAGTTAATTTTTAATGTTATTTCATAATTGAAATAAATTATTTTTTTAATTATAGGATTTTACAAGCTACGTTAGCCGCCTCACGATCTCAATTATCCAGACACATGTTGGATAAACCTCTAACCGAAAAAATCGGACAATTGACGAGCGAAACGGAAAGGGAAGACTTGAGAATAGCTTTAGTGGCGGGTCAAGAAAGCGCGGCAGTGCAAATTTTATTGGAAGCATGCCTGGAAACGGAGGAAGACAGAAAAACTCCCGGACAAATGTGGTCTCTTCGGGAAATACGAAGTGTCGTATGTTCCTACTTGCATCAAGTATTCATAGCCGATCCATCTCTGGCTAAATTGGTTCACTTTCAGGTATATACTGTAATAAATTAGGTAATAAATAATATATTAATATAAAAATATCAACATAATATAAATCGTACATTATACATTCTTATTTATTTTTATTTTTTATTTAATTAAGTTACTAGTTTATTTTAACTATTTTCACACGCAAAATTTTTTATCTACAGGGCTATCCACGTGAGTTGTTACCGATCACGGTTTCTGGAATTCCATCAATGCATATATGTCTCGACTGGATCCCGGAATTATTATCGCAGCCCGAATCGGAAAAACAAGTATTTGCCGTCGACTTGGCTTCGCATCTGGCGATTCAATACGCTCTGCCGAAGGCTTTAAGTGTTTCCCGATTGGCGATTAATACTCTTATAACGTTATTAGGCGTATTATCCGCCGAAGATCGAGTCATTCTCTTCATGCCTGTGTTGTCATCGTTGACGCGAATATGCTTAGCTTTTCCTCCATTGGCCGAGGATATCACAGGATTATTACTGCAGCTTGGCAGAGTCAGTACGGCTCAAGCGGCATTGGGTGATAAAGCGGCAGATCTATTATGTCAAGAAGTGAATGCGACATTTTGCATGTTATTGCAGAAAGCTATATTGCAATCGCGAGTTTATTGAAACGCGACTTACATGTACAAAGAACTGTTAAATGTCTTGAAAGTTCTAATGTATTATTTGTATATATGAAACTTTTTCATCATTGACGAATTGTGTAAAATGACTTTCAATTTTGTAAACTATTTTTTGAATTATATACGGATTAAAAATATCTTTGATACTTATGTAGTATTAATAAGACCATTATTCGACCATCTGTTAATCAAATAAAGAATACATTTATTAAGTCAAAGGGAGAGATGCATACGACGGTATCAACTAATAATGTTTTTCTGCATGTAATGATGATTTTTTTATTATATATGAGAGCATTGATTATGTGCATATTTATTTCGAATTTAAATATAAATAAGAATTATAAATTGATTTAACATCCCTCTTATCTTTTTCAGAGACAAAAATAGTTTCTTATAGTAGAAAAAAAATATTTTCTATTTTCTATATGTGAGAAAGAGATATATATATATATATATATATATATATATATAACAATAAAGAGAGACATTTCATATTCTTTACGTACGTATTTACAAGATTTATTACATATTTAAAACACATATATATTTTTTATATATTTCTACCTTTTTTCTCTTGTGTCTATGAACAACAATTTCTGTCATGTTCTGAGTGCTTTTGTTCTTTTTTTCATAAATTGTAAGCTGTCATAAAAATCATGTAGAGATTATATTACACATCTCGTTTACTTTACATGAAAAAGATGATTACTAAAGATTATCTAAATGATATTGTTACATAGAGAATTTATGTATGTGTTTTATGTGAAATAATCTACACATACAGATATGTATGCATATTTACTTCAGACACATGTTATATATTCAGATCATGCATTTTGTTAATATATAAAGCCAAAACAGCAAGCTTATTTATTCCAAGGAATTTAACATCAAAAGCTGCTTCAGCACTTTGGTTTGGCTTGTTTCTCTGATCTCACCTGCTAAGAACATTTCGTCTACAACAGTATATACCTAAAATAAAATTATTGTCATGATTATCATTGAATAAATGTTGCAATTGATTAACAACAAAGCACATCAAGTTTCATGAAATTATATTAAAGTGATTTTTGCAAATTTCATTGAAAATAAAAAAGAGATAATAATCTAAATATACTATCTAGACTATTATCTCTTATAAAAAAGAGATGATAATCTAAAAATACTATCAAATAGAGAAAAAATACCTTGTAAAAATTAAAGACTAAATCCAGTTCGCATACATTATGGAAATATTCGTTCAGCACTTCTACAAAATTATGTATTGCTTCCAAATAACATAGATTGTTGTCGTTCACATCAACGCAAATGCAAAAGTACAAGCCGGCATATCGTCTGTACACTATTTTGAAATTGCGAAACTGAAATATATATTTAATATTTAATATATAGTACATGATGCACAAGGTAAGGATGTCTTATCGAGCCAACCTCAACGAAGTTTGTGTGCTTCGCATCTCTGACAGTAACCACCGCATGAACTTCTTCTATTAACTTTTGCTTTTCGTCATCGTCGAAATTCATGTACCACTTTGCTAACCTAGTCTTACCAGCCCTGTTTTGTATAAGAATAAATCGTATCTGCAACGAAATAGGATTAATGTAGTTATTCCTATAATTTAAATACTGTTGACCTAATCAATTTCGTATTATAATTATGAATAAAAAATAATTATCAAAGACATATTTTTTCATTTTTTACGCAATATAAAGATAGTATTATCCATTGATTTTCCTTATGATCGAATGTTATGTATTACATCTGGCTTTGTCGAAAAATGTGATTTAATCATCTGACAGAAATCTCCAAACTGTCAATCGGACGAGATGACATTTTGGAGCACATATTTTTTTATATTTGTCGAATTTAAGAAAAAAATTTTAGTTCAAAATTAAATAATTTTATAGGTACCATTTTGAAAATTGATTCAAAATTCGGTTAAATAATATTCTAAAAACTTTCAGTAAACATAAGATTCTATCAATTCTCCGCCCACTGATCGCGAACGTAACAATTCGTAACGAAGACAGTCAGTCTTTGGAATCGACATATGCTGCGAAAATAGCGCCCTCGTCATGTAAATGTTCTACTGTAAATAAATGCCGAATGATAATAATTTGAAAGATGATTAAATTAGTATAATTTATTTTAAGATAAGACGTTTTTATTATTTATTTTAATTATTGCGTTATAACATAAATAATTATACCTTTGATGTAATAACAAAGCATCAAAAATTAAACAACTTATCAATTATTTTTTTTAATATTGTATAAAAAAATAAATTTTTAGTTATTTTGTAAATTGATATGTAATTAAGTAAAAAGATACATTTTGTTTTATTTACTTTTAATATTATTTAAATATTAACAGTCAATAAGTTAGCGATCTACTATCAATAACTATTGTCATAATTGGTTACTTATGATTGATAAGAACTTTCATTTTGAAATATAAAAGAAATAAGAATGTTTTTTTTTCTTTAATATAAATATGATAAAAAATTATGATTAATTTCATATTAAGCAAAATTTATGTGTTGTAACATATATTTGTAACATATATCTGTTAAATATAAAAGCAATCAAGTTTTTTTTGTATCATTTTTTGTATCATTTTTTTATATATTGAATATCATTTATTTTATTCAAACAATGTTTAAGTTGGTTGCTGGAAAATATCAAAACTTTTTGTAGTATTATTATATTTTTGAAAAGACAATTACTAGGCTGACAAAATATTTTTATATCATCTAGCTAAAATGTTCTTTCCTTATATGCTTTAATTGCATTATGAAATGTACAGCAAAGCAATTTGCGTAAGACATCCGGTACATTAAGATGTAACAGTCAATGAAATTAACATTCGCGTTGCGAAATGAAAGCAAGGCGAATGGGTGAATTAAATGCGTATATCGGAAACGTGTGACAATTAAGATTGCAGTAAAATGTTCTCTTCTTAATCTAAATTCAATTATTTATATTTATATTTATATTTATTATTTATATTTATTAAATTTTATATGGCATAAAATTTTTTGCAAAATATTCTAAAGTTTTTAAAAATCTCTTTTTAAATCTCAAATTCTATTTTGATATTTTGTAAAAAGTGTAAATTGTAAAATGTGTCCTGGATTTTTTTCTTTATATAAAAATTAATAGCAATTAAATAGTAACAAGATGATCCTTGGTGTTTAAAATAATGGAAAAAAATAAGGCAAATCAGAATCGGCGCTGTTAACTAATGCGCAATTAACACTTTTTATTAGAAAATGACGTTTATAATAAAAATTTATAAAACATCCAAGGATGGTTTATACTAAAGATTGAAGTTTTTTAATAAAAAGTATTAATTGCGCACTGTTAACAGCGTCGATTCTGATTTGCCTTATTTTTTCCATTAATAGCAATTATTAATGCCATGAAATATTGAAATAATTCGAATGCCATGATATATTGAAATAATTCGAATGCGAGACTTTGACACATTGTAAAGTCAAATATTGCAATTAACTGTCATTGAAAATCTTATTTGTGTTATGAGAGATTGATGATTTTATTAGACAGCATAGCTATTTCTTTACTCGTACCATCATCGAACAATTATGTATGTTTTACATTGCAAAACAAGAAGAAAAAGAAAACACGATAGAAATATCTTCGTATTTTACGATTCGCACATCTCGCGTAATCTTGCAAGTCGCAAGTGCGTGTCAGAGGCTTCATTTTTCATATGATGTTATTGTTATTTTTGTCAGCAAATACCATAATAGATATTTAATGCAAATCATCCACCCAAGAAACAAACGGCTCAAGGAACAAACGGCTTTCTCAAGAATTTTTCATTATTAACGCATGTATCATTTTAGTATTTATTTAAATAATTTTAATTTGTATTTTTAATTTGTATTTTTATTTAATAATTTTAAATTTGTATTTTTTATTTCAATATTTATATTGCACCATTCAAATGTGAGAAATATCGGAAAAGAATCCGTGAGATTACGAATGATTTGTTAGTCCGAAATAATTAAAAAAAATTTAAAAAAAGTAATTTGCACAATATACTGTGCATGAATTGTGCCCGTAAAAAAAAGATAGAATTATGCAACTAAGTATAAATTTAAAATACCATTCAACAGTAGAATACGCTAGCGAATAAAAACTCCTTAATTAATTTTTCCATTTCCTACATAAATATGACAGATATTTTATTTGAAAATATATCTTGATTTATCTATACGTTTCATTATTTTGAATCATCCTATCTCGCCTGCAGGAACAAAATGTCGAGTAAATCTAGTTACAATTTAAATACATTTTGTTATTTCCTTTTTATCTCAGAAATTTTAGCCTTAATTTTCATAATGTATTAGCTAATCTGATATTGAATTTTTCCTTAAAGAAAAACCGCGAGACTTGCGCAATCTTTCGATACTTAATATCATAATTGAATCGCGATGATTCGAATGAAGGAATAGGAATTCTTCGGGGCATTAATATTGCATTAGTCCAGTTGCGTAATTCAGTTGCAATTTATTCATCTAATTCGCAATCATCGTGTTAGCTCGTACTATAAACGTCCCGTCGCGTCGTCATCGCCGTCGTAAATACGTTCGCCGGTGCAAAGGACTAGATGGTCGATTCGCGAGCTGCGCGATGCGGCGTCACTATTGTCGGATATCGTAACGAGCCGGCAATTCATATGATTCTATTATCCTAAGTGCTCAGATCAGTCGACACGAGACGAGGCACGAATCGCACTCGGCAACGAGTCAATTATTCAAATTTTAAATAAATAAGATGTAATGTGTGCTTGGCTAATAATGATATGTCGAGTAAAGTAATATTCCGGTTTATTAAATTTGAATGATTTTTTTACAAATTCATTTCTGTGAGATTATCTAACCTTCTATCTATCTTCAATATCTCTAGCCTCCGAAAGAAATTAATCATATTACATACGTTCTGTAAAAAAGACATAATTTTACGATTTCTCATTACTCATTGTCGCGGTCGAAAGCGGTAACTTCAAGTTTGGCGTTACCGCATCGGCACCTTTCTAATAATCCGCAAAGTTCGATATGCCTTTCGCCTTTCCCATGTCCATTTGAAAGACAGATTCACCTCTCAGCGGCGAAAAATTCGCGAGATTATACGTTCACTCGGATTTTTAAATCGAAATAAGTCACGTATACGCGAGAAAGAGTATATATCTATTAATTCAGCCTCAATTTCCCAGAGACAGCTCATAATGTCAACCTATTTCTTGAATATTAATGATTATAACGATTATATAATTATAATAATTATATAATTTTACAAGTTTTTTCGATTTTCTATTTAATTACTCTTTGAATATAAATGCAATAAAAACAAGACTGTAAAGAACCGAATATAAGCATTCAAATCTTTTATTATTCGACACGTACTGAGAATTGCTTAGCTTTGATCGAGAGTAATTTTAAGTCACTTTCACCAAAATGTCTTGCAAATCTGAAGTAAGATTCTCGCGAATCTCTCTGATTTATCGTTGCGTAACAAGCGGTATTAATTTCCTTCGAGCAATTGCGGATGAGCACTCGGTGCCTCGGGATTCGTCTCGAAATGAGAAAGAAAGGGATGGAATAGGGGATTTTGAGAAGGAGAGAAAGGAACTCGACAGAGGATGGGAAAGAAGGGAATGCAAGTGGCAAAAGAGCGAGATAGCACAGTTTGCGCAAACCGCGGTAATTAAATGCAAATATTGCGTGCTGTGCTTGGCAAAATTAATATTTAACGTTCGTCGCGCAATCTGGCTGTTTCTTCTTCGAGAAATCGACGGCATCACTATTCTACCCCATAACGAGTGGGAAGTCGAGCGCATGCAATCACTGCCGACAAATTAGATAGATTAAAGGCATCCCATCTTCGATGAATTAATGACGGAGGGAAAATCTCTACTATTTCTCGATATATTATTTTATATAAATTTTTATTTTTATTATATTTCACATTCTCATTATTTCACATTCTTATTATTATTATTATTATACCGTTTACTGTCTACTGGTTACTGAAAATATGTAACAAGTCTGTGCCCGGCTTTACATGTATATAGTGTTTCCAGAGTGTCACAATAGTCCACGATGAGCAAACATTTTATAGATAAAGAAGTCGGAGGAATGGTAATAAATATTGTTATTCCGTCTTTTATATTTTTCGAGGAATAATTAGATTATTTTTATATTATATATAAACTATACGATAAAATTTGATCATTTTTATCACATACATTTAATATTTCAGCAAGAAATATTTTCTTGCATTCTAATGTAGTTCTTTTTCAAGAAATAAAATAATTTCGAGAAAGTATCAAAAGTAAAACTATCTTATCACGATATTATAATATCATATGTCTTGAGATTGCAAGCATTTTATTAAAGTTCTAAAAACAAGGCGATGAAATAATAATTTTGGCAATCCATATTATTTTCAAGTTAGACACAATTATTAATTTTGTTGAATCATCCAAAGTTTGCTCCAACAAAATTATTTTTTCCATATAGTAAATTTAAGAAGTGCTCATTCATATAAATTTTCACGCTTGTTTTTATAATTTTTTTATACGATTATATTGCATCTACGGAAAGATTTATTTCTCGCTCGTCGTATGGAAACGTAACATAAAAAAATAGAAATCGAATTCCGAGTATAAGAGACTAGAAAGATTAAGGCAGACGGAAAACTCGAGCCAGACGATCAACGCTTTAATTAGTCGATAATTAATGTGTAGTAACAAATTAATTACGCATCTATAGATATTTGTATAGTACAGACGCATACAAAAATAAAATGCAAACTATCTAGAGCATTTTACTAGTCTTAGCTAGTCTATCAGATTAGAAATAGAGAAGGAGAAAGGAATGGAAATAAATTATCTGTCGCACGATCGCGCGTTATGAGTGTGTGACAATTGTTATTTCCGGAATACGCAATTACAACTGCTACCCGCGCAATTACAATTGTTATCTACGGATAATGATCGTGCGACATGTCTATCGTGAGCAAAATAGAATGCGTTATACATTACATGTGTAGGTGTGTGTAACAATACTGCAGATCTAGAACATGTAAGTACGTATACTACTGTGCCGGAACTAAGGGACTCTAACTTTTGGTTCGGAGAACAGTGCGAGACGCTCGCTAGCTTCTCTGCGCGTAGCATCAACGAGAGAACCTGTCTACAAATCTGCATAACTGACACTTGTTATTCCGAGAAGACGTGCCTTCTCGCTTTCTTAAAACGGACATGAGCATCCCGCGCGAGAAAAAATCATCTTTGCGAGCGCAGCGTAATGGCTTATATGACTCACGCGACTGTCTAATCGTTTTTGTTCCGCCATTTTTTTGTATCGCTCGCAAGGTCGATTCTTGGGAAACAAGGACTCGTTTCTTTTTTCCTCTCAGCACGAGAAGAGGAATACTGCACACGCACCGATCTCTCGCTACGCATTTTTCATCCGCAGAGAGAATTGCGAGATTTCGCGTCACTCCTCACGATTGGGAAAGTAAAGGGACGCCTCTTTAGCCTCAATGTAAATTACGATTACGATTGTTGTGCGATAAAAGCGTCCCTTCGTCCCTCTCGCACTTTGATGTGCCGGCGAAGAATCATGCCAAGGACACAATTGGAGTATTACGCCGCGTGCAAACGAGCGTGAAGCCTTGGCCTGATCTTCGGGGCTCATTAACTCGCGGTGATTCGCGCGCAATTTTTCTCACGGCGTTCGGGAGAAGTCGACGACATGTCCTCCTCCTTTGCTCGTCCAACAAAATCGACTTTAAAATTCTAGTAAAGAAAAGAAAAAAAATCATGGCACAGTCGAGAGGAAAGCAATATCTCTTTCTCTCTTACGAAAAAATAGATTCGCGCGAATTTGATTTGTCTCACAAAGTTGCGAATCGATATTTTATATTGATTTTTACTTGTAAACTCTCGAAATGCTTTATTTCGTTCGAGCATTGCCGAGGTAATTTCGAAAAATGTAAAAGATATTAGAAAAGCAAAGGAGCAGCGTGAAACAAAGACTATATTAATAATACGTCAATAAAAATATACGTTCTCTTTTGATACGAGGCGCTAGGAACACAACAGGTGTAAGTCCCCACACGCTACAACATATAAAAATTATTACAATTTGATTGATGTCGACGTAGACGGGGAACAATAAGACCTCGAGTGCAATGATTTTCCAAAATAATAAAATTATTCGTAAAGGCATTAATACAAAATATATATTCGTATCGCGAAACGACGATATTTATATAAAAAGTAACTAAAAGGAGTACTTTATACTTAATAATAATAAAAATCAGACTATGTTCACTCAATAGGAAACTCATTAAATTAACAACTGAGGATTTTACCGTTGGAAAATAATTGCGCCGTCCCGTCCGTCCAAGACTTTCGATTAATAACTAAATCCGGCCCTCCGTGGCATCGTCTTTTCGTCTTTTCACATTTCATCGCGCCACGAACGACCCGAAGATCTCTGTAATCGTGCTTCGAAAGTTGCGTATGGCACCGAGAGCGGAAGTAAAATAGTACGATACTTCCGCAGGATACGAAAAAAACATTTGCGATAACGAGGGCCTCGAATGTGCGCGAGGGGAGGTACGACCGATATCGGGGGCGTACACAGTACTCGTCCGTGTTATCGCGCGGTTATATTATCCAGACGATGACTAGATAATATTCGGGAGGGAGGGGGGGGGAGGGAGGAGAGGAGAGCAGGGAAATTGATGGAGGAGGGAAGTCGCTCCGAAGCGACTCTCCATTCATCGTGACACATTTATTTCGCATCTCGGGTGTGCAGCCGCACTCTCGATTGGCGCAATAACGCGCAATAATCGGCGACAACTTCCCTACTCTTCGCCCTGTTAAAGTCTCCTCTTGCAACGCGAGCGGAGACATTATAATTATATAAACCGTTGTTTTTTTTTTTTTTTTGTGTATACTTTTGCCAGCAAGATTTATGCTGTACGTGAAACCGATCGGGCTAATTGAAACTATCGTTTGGCGTATTTATTTCTCTTAATTTTTATCTTTATATCAATGGTACTCTTCGTTTAGAATGTATCGAGCACAATCTGACAATCGCATCCGGCGTTAAAGAAAAGCATGAAAAGAATAGAACAATATTTTTACGATATAATGTATAGGATGTGTCGCTACTGCTTGCAACAAGGTTCTCAAGGGTTCCTTTGTGTAATCAGTAGCCTTCTCATACGATTACACGTGTACTCATATCGATATCCAATCTATGGTATAATCAGGTCAAAGTAGATATCTGGCAGGATGTATCGAGTATCACGCACTTTCTCTTAATTAAGAAGAGAATCTGAGAACGACTTTTCTGCTCTGCCGCTGTTTTCTTTCTTCATTAAGATATTATTTGTCATTTACAAATACTTTTTGATAAATTATAATTCTAATAGATAAATTATTCTAGTATCCTTGATATTTCTTCTTGTTAATAAATATTAAAGGAAATTTCATTTTCGTGAAAAATGAAAATTACAACTGCTAAATTATTAAAATTACTATAACTAAAATTTATTATCATTAAGATATTGATAGCTATACAAATGTCTTTATAATTTTCAAGAACTTGAATTTTTATTCGGTGAGCAAAATATATTTGTAATAGCGTGAACTTTTTCTTCGTTATACTCTAATAATTAAAACATTTAAGTGAATGGAGCAACGTAATATCATATGTATGCATATATTGTAATTAAAATAAGTAATTATCAATTTCCTCACGGATTTTGCAACAGTTAGTCGAATGAATATTCATCGTACTTTCATAATGATAACTAATTTTCTCGTTACGTTATTACGTTCAATCGATAGTTTCAATTAGCGACAAAAAGGTGAGCGATCGCATTTACAAGAAAACATTTTAGCACCAGATATAAAAAGAGCAGAGGTCGACAAAGTTACAAAAATGCTCGTGATTATCTCATGCACAGAAGACACTTCTCTTTCTCTTTTCGAGATAATAAAATTTTTTTATCTTACATGGAATAATATTTTACAACGTGGATTCTACGATAATAAAAATATTTCTTTGGAATTCAGAGAGATATATAAAAGATATAAAATAGTAGATTCTGTCTTCCCGATTTCGGAAATCTTTCCATCTTTCCATAAAATGTTACCACTTTTGTTCGACCTCTGTGAGGAAAGCTTGATCGATGACACGATTGAGATACACCGTGTAAAAATTTAAGCGGCGAAATCTCTATGTCGTTTCGCGGCATACAATTTCTCATTCACTTTCCATATGTGCCACTCACTTGCACTTAAGCCGAATGCATTCATGTGTATGTGTGCGATTGCGTGTATACACGTGTAAGTTGTGTCAGTGAAACGTCGGCATTTAACCGGCACTCGAATTGCAGTAGTTAAGGCGGTAACGATCGTACCACTTGGTTCGCTAGGGTCAAGCGTAGGACCTTCGTCGTCTTCGGCCTCGGTTATCACTTGCACTTACTCTTACCGTCAAGCAGCTTCTTCCAGAGGTCAAACTGCTCGCTGTACTTGACCATGTGTATGCTGATGCCACGCTGAATATTGCAGGCGGTGTATTGTATCCGTTTGTTCAGGAACTCGTTGGCATGCGAACGTTTGATACCTAATCTGTGCGCGACGATACCCGTGGTGAACACGTCCTCGAGCTTCAGATATGTCTGATCTAGAGCAGCGTCGTACAAACGGCGCACCGTGTCGCTTGATAAGAGATACGCCGGTCCAGTGGTAAAATCCGGGAATATCGGCTGTTGGAATTGTGCCTGCGACACGTAGTATTTGCTCTTACGATTCCGGATTGGCTTCCACTTTCTGGCCAGACGGCCGAATATTATATTACGGTCCTTCGCATGCTTGTACACGAACGCCAACAATCGCGGCACGTTGATGAACATATCGTCGTCAGTCTTCAGCAGATATTTGACTTTGGAGCAGTAGGTATCGACCCACTCTAACGTCGAGATGGTCTTAAGCGTGAGATTCGAGTACGAGTCGAGGAAACGGCCGCGTATCACGTCATTGTACATGTTTTGCTCTTTACGTAAGATCTTTTCTACCCTTGCGTCGAGGGTGGTGCCGAGCATGAAGAGCACGCTCATATCGCTGCGTTGGCCAAAGTGACCCCAGGTCTGCCGAATCGCCGTTCGCGCTTCGAGATGAGTCGGCGCAGACATCACGATCACCACTAGGTCCATGTCTTTGCCGAGATTCGGGCAACGTTCGGGAATCGACACTGTGTGCCCGGCCTCGTATATGGCACGTGCCGAATCATTCCGAATCGCGATCGGCGCCGACCTGGTCATGTTGATAAGTCTCGCCGTCTGAAGCTTCTCGTTTGTGCTCTGCTTCGAGCTGACCAACGTGCTCGCGGAAGACGACGAGGACAAGGATTGGACACTGGAGGACATCGACAGCGTGGTGAAAATCGAGGAGTTGTTACTAGCGTTGTGTGCTGCGTATGGGCTGAGAGACATGCTGTCCGAACTGGAGTTTTTGGGCAGGCTGCAATTTACGTGTATGTGAAGGCCTTCTTGGTACGCCGGAGAGTAACCTGAAATTTCATTAAATCTGGTTAACGATCTATTTGTAAAAAAAAAAACTAAGTGAAAAGAGAGCATAGATACTTACTAGTGTTTCGAGGCAAATTGTATTGGCGAACATCATACACGGCGGTACGGTAGTACGCGTAAAAAGTCAGGCCGATCAACGCGAGGATCAGGATCTGTAGAAAAACGACTCCTGAGATGCAGGTAGTGGAACATGACGAATGCTTGCTCTGGTCGCTCTTCTCTCTCTCTCTCTCTCTCTCTCTCTCTCTCTCTCTCTCTCTCTCTCTCTCTCTCTCTCTCTCTCTTCCCTTTCGCAAGGCGAAATCACCGCCTCAGGACTATATCATCGTGTGCGTCGTGCGGCGGACGACCTGACGGCCGTCGTCGCTCCCTCGTGGACTCCACCGCGGATCGGAGCACTGCTACGTGCCACCGTCCGACAGATTATTTCCATACTGCGCTCCGGACCCCACTCGCCGTCCTTCGCGTCGTTCACCCGTTCCCTCACCCGGGCTGGAGAGGGAGGATCCAGTGGTCGACCCTGGCCCCGCGCGACTTTTTGCGCCCCGCTTCCAAGAAGACGCTCTTGCAACTTCCTCGCGCATCACATCACACGGTGAACATCATCGCGCACTCCGAATTCTGACATCGTCGCCGGGACATCCCGAGGCGCGCCTCTGCCGAGGGGAGATCCACTTCCGACGCTAGCGGGCGTCGCGACGGGCCTATCGACGGTACCATTCGAGATAAATACCAACTAACAGTGACATTAAATATCCATATTATAATTTTTTCTTCATTTAGCAATACAAATACAATATAACATGTTGTTATCATTATTACGTCACATTATCAAGTAGAAAATTATAATATTGACATAACATTTAGCATAAATGTGATATAACATAATTGTTAGGTTTGGTGTTCATTGGGTTACCATCGGCGGAATGTCTTTCACTTCTGTCTAGAACCGTCAGATGATGCACCGTGCTCTTTTGCTTCTGACCGTTAATTTATCTTTAAACTTATCGAGAAATTCTTCGGCGATAAGTTCTCCACTGACAGTGCCAGATCACTTTGTATGCGTATCTTCTTTCCGACTGTTGCTTATGCATTAATATATATCTGACGGAAGCATAAGAATGCTATGAATATTTCACAGTATCGGGCCATATAATAGATATATCGGCGTTACGTGCTTGAAATGCATTTTGCTTATCGCTACTTTAAAAGTATATCCTTCGTACTGCAGTATGATGCTAATGCTCGGCGAATTTTGCGGTAACTTTAGTTAGACTTCGATCAATTCAGGCGGCGATTAAATTAAAATGATTACCTTCGACAACATTTTTATTTATATGGATCTATTATCGTTTTCTCCTTTAATCTTTTTTTTTTCAGTAGATATATCTATCTATTGAACAATAATTGACGCTTTTGAAAAATTAACAATTTTATTCACGTTAACAAAAACATTATTAGATGAAGTTAATTGCCGATTAAATTAATTGGATCTAATTACCCATAAATATTAAAAGATAATAATTAGCATTTTATTAATATAAATACAGTTCCCGTTAACGTGAAAAGACATTGTTCTAAAGATACAAGAGTAAAATCGGCTGAACAAGATTTCTACTTCTTATAGACACAGATTTCTAATTCCTTTCCTTACGCCTTTTTCCGGATTCAGGAATGTGGGTTGGGAGGCTGTAGTTAACCCCCAAGACCAAGAGGGTTGATCGATAACCTATTTTTCCGCGGTTGGCGTGACGCCAGAATTCGTGGCGAGTAGCTGCTGACTCTTTGACATCGCAAATAGTGTAAAGCCCCCGTTTTCGGGATAGATCATGAATGTTTTCGATTCGAATCCCGCGTTTTGTGTAGTGTTGATTTAAATCGACTAATGTAATGATAATAAGATGCTTGCAATGTTTGTCATGAGCTTTTGCATCTAATTTACGAGCTAATGCAGAAATCTATCTTATATTTATAACAATAACGTCCTAAGCACAATAACCGAAATCAACAAAACATTCTATTTGAGCTATATTTAAATAATAGCTATATATTTAAATAATAATATTAAATCAAATTTACATCTTTTATAAATTCCATAAAATCAAGTTTATTTCACATTAAATATTCCTTTGCAAATAATGACAGTTTTTTTAGATGATTTTTTAGAAAAAAATGATTTGTTTGAATACTAGTATAAAATTAAAACTTAAAATAATACACAGATAAAAGTAAATAAAAATTATATAAATATTTTTGTATATATGATCCAGATAATATAAAAAAAAATAAGAACAAATACAGTTTTCATCATTTGGTGTAGCCAATAAAATCTGAAATTATGAATATTTATCTATAAATAAAAATTAAACTAAAATTATAAAAAATATTAATCGAAAATTAAAAAAGATCTCTTACCTCTTATATTTAATACGACTGATTGTTATGGTGTTATCATCTTCTTTGAGTATATAACGGCGTAAACCCATGTACTGCTCAGTTAAATATTTTGACCAGTTAAATTTCTCCATATTGAATTTGAATAATAGTTGATCTTTTTCGTTAAGATTATCCCACATTGTTTTAACGTTGTTAGTGGAATAATTCCATTCATTAGTACAAAAATATTCTACTGCTTTAGTAGTATGATGGAACTTCTTATACATTTTTAACATACTGAAATAATTAAAGTTATAATCTTCCATACATAGAGACATAATAGTAATTTGTATGTATACTATTAAATATATATTATTAAAATAATAATAATTATGTTTATTTTTTAGGCATACTTTGGTTTACGTTTAATGCAGATGGTTGCAGCATCTATAAATAAAGCCGGAAGAAAATGACCGAAAAAAGTACAAATGTTATATAGTACTTTATTTTGGATAATTAAACCTTTGGGAAACCATTTAGCACTATGCAACGGATATATTTTATTAACGACAAACAATTTGTTCTTGTAGTTATTCCAAGTAGGCCCATCAACTGGTGACACGAAATTATAAATTAACATATCTTTGCCTCTCCTAAAAGATAAAATATAAACTATTATAAATATGTAATAAATGCTATGAAAAAATAAAAAATTATTTTTAGAGAATAATTTGAAGACTTTAAAAAAGATTTAAACTTTTATGCCTTTATCAGATAATAAGATTAAAATAGTAAAAATGCGATTGTATAATTATAAATTAATTATGATGGCAGTTATTCAATCATACCTATGTTGGTTAAAGACGTCATATGCACTAACTATTAAAGCGTTTACAGTAAAATCAACGGGTACCACATCTGCCCTAACATGTTTAAAAGAATATAAAAATGTTGCGATACCAAGTAGCGAAGATAGCAATATGCCTATTGGTCCATATGTATTGTCAATCCATCCGCCAAATGGTTCATTAGCACTGGATAAAACTAAAAAGAAGTTTTAATTACTTTTCTTTACAAATTTATGGAAATCAAGTTTAAGATATTACATCACCCTAACGATTTAAAAATATCAAACTTTTTTACATTTTTTAAAAATTTCAAATGTGTAGAATTGTATTAAAGCAATATATCGGAATTTCGTGTTTGGTCAGATATGTAAATGAGATCGACGAATCCTAATAACCGAGTCGGAATGGAAGAGATTCTTTCACAATTTTTTATTACAAGATAGTCTTAGAGATCTATCTCATCATTAGAAATAAAATTTTATTTTATTGGAAAAGAAATAAAATTTTATTTTATTGGAAAAAAAATTATCTCGAAATTTTTTGTCTCCGATAAAATAAAATAAAATAAAAATTCAGTTACTCCATCATTTTTCAATTTTTTTTTTCAAAAGAAATGCAAAATAAAATTAAAAGTTATATTAATAATCTGCAAAAAATCTAAGTTTTCTACTTATTAATTTTATTTATAAAAAAAGTTCCCAAAGTTTATTTACTTTTTAGTAAGTTTTTAGTTTAGTTAAGTCTACCCCCTTAATTATACATAATACTTCTACTATTTTTAAAATTTTAATATTTTATAATAAAGAATTGTATGTAAATAATTGAAAAGAGTTATATATAAATTAATACTTTAATAAAAATTTTTATTTTATATTTAATATACCATAATATCATGATTAATTGTATATCCTGTTACCTATCGAAGGTCGAAATATTCCAATGGGCAAATCTTCGCTTTCATCTCTGATAAGTCCTTCCGCAATTGCTTTTGTGAATGTATATGTATTAGGCCATTGTGAAATAATTCTAATAAAATAGTATTTAATTTTCTACATTAATAGTTTTATCATATTATTATTTTATTGTATTATTTGTAATATTTTATTGTATTATTAAAAATGAAAGAAATACGTACTTAGCTATCTTTTTCTCAAATACGTTTTCGGGTAAGGTATGTATTAATGTATTAAGTTCTTTGTAATTAATAGGATATGTATAGAAACGTTCTTCAACATATTTAACATAACAATTTGCATAAGCTGTAGATACATGAATAAGTGACTGTAAGATAAATATTAAGATTAAGCTTATTTTTCAAAATAGATAAAAATTGTAGAATAATAAAAAAATTCTTCTCAATTTATTATACATAAAAAATATTGCGTTAGAGGAAAAAAATTACCTTTAAATTTGGCATGCACTTTGCAATTTTTAAGATAGTATCGACAGAACTAACGTTTATTATCGTAGAAACTTTGATGCTCTCGTTGAAACGCACATTTGCTGCTACATGAAAGATTATAGATACCTATAATAAAATACATTATAATTCTATAAAGTTTTGAATAAAAAGAATAAAAACCAAAAAAAAGGATATTATTTAATTACATTAATGATTATGGTCAGATATGTATGAAATATATATGTGTTTCTTTCAATATATTTTTGTATTAGATTTTAATAACAGGTAAAAAAAGAGAAATAAAAAGTAACATACATTACTACTAACCTTATTTATGAGTATGTTCTTATCAGCTTCTGACAATCCAAAATTTTCGATATTTAGGTCGCCTACAATCGGCACGATTTTTTTGCGAAAATCGGGCATTTCTTTTTTCAATAGATTGTAAAGCTATACAAAAATTATAGATTTAAATAGTGAAAGTTTATAAATATATCATGTTAATTGAATATCATTTTCTAAATATCCACCGGTATTTGAAATATTTCATCTAGTCGAGTCTCGGGACATTTGTCTTTTTTCGTACGTATTAGCAGATAAATTGTAGAAATATCGGGACAACTTCGTAATAATTTTTCAATCAAGACTTTTCCAAGAAATCCTGTACTTCCTACAAAAGAAGAACAATACATTATATATGTATATATGTTTATGTAACTGTGTGTTTAGAAAAATGTAAAAAAATTCTATAATAATTAGAGAATTTGATATTAAATTAATTGTTAATTATAAAATTAATAATTAATAAGTTAACTAATATTTAATATAATATTAAAAAATATATAATTAAAAGAAAGTGTTATTTGCTATTTTGAATCCGGTATAATACAAAAAAATCAGTTTTTAATATAATCACAGTATATAGGGTGACCCAAAACTCTCGCATTTGGAGTACACTACGTGATTCTTTATGCTAAAAGAAACAACTTTTTCCTTTAGCAAAATTGTATAGTACGACGAGTAGTTTTGGGACACGGTTTTTAATGTATTACAGTATAGTCTTTTAATGTTAATTAAATTCATATAAAAAGCCAGTAGATTTTTAGCAAGTTTGTAGTTTGATGTTTTATGATCTGAAATAGAAAGAAAAAAAGATGTGATGTCATAACTAAACATAAATTTTAAAAGACTTTATTTAAAAATTAGAATAAAAATATGAAATTTGCAAGAAACTTTCATTTTTCATCGGAGTTTATCATTCATACATCTATTCATATAATTACAATTAAAATGACGTTAAAAAACTGTTTCTTGAACATATATGGATTTTCATATAACTATGTATGAAAATCGTTATAAAAATTGAAATTACGAAAACATCGTTTCTCGTAATTTTCTTAATTTATTAATATCCTTGATTAATTATTTGAAATAATTACGAATAAGTAACATATTATAAATAATCGTTCAATAATGTTTATCTTGTTTATTTTTTCTAGTCATGTTCACCATTTTGAAATCATTAAAACGACTATGTATAAATAGTTATATAAATAGTAATATCGAGCAATACTATTATCTACTATATCGCGAATTCTTTAAAATGTAGAATACATGGTATTTTCAAATGCACTCAAGTAAAAAATTGTTTCTTGTAGATTTCATATTCTTTTTTATTAAATATTAACTTTTTAATTAAATATTTTAGAACCTATATTTATATGACATACTTTTCTTATTTTATTTCATTTCAGAATATATTGTTAAAGTTTATACGGAAAATTCAAGGACGTCTTGTATATGTTTATTTAATACATTTCTTTCTTGTATATTTATTTTGAGTTTTTATACGTTTTTAATCTTATAATCTGTACTTATTGGAGATATATGTTATATTACATTTATATCGGTAAGCGTTTATTACAAATATTCAAAAAGTATATTTTTACTTATATCTTTGTAATTTAGTATTATATCACTATCCGCTATAAAAAAATAATATATTTCTTATATTTATTCATATATTAATCCTATATATATATTTATAATATATTCCGGTTATTATACATGTATTATTATACATGTTTATAACAGTGAGAGTTTATTAGAAAATTATTACAAAATCTATTAAGTAACATGCACTTGGAATTAAATGGTGTAATTTATTATTTTTTAAAACATATTTAAAAAAATATAAAAAAACAAGCAGAACATATAAATTTTATTTTGCAACATTATTTGTGATAATAAAATTATTAAGTATTGACAGATTTACAAAAAACGAAAAAAAAGAGAAAAAAGATATTAAATAGTTTTAATTATTTTACTTAATTAATAATTTTAATTAATTAATATCTTATTTTATTAATTATGCACTTGTAATAAATACCTGTAATAAAGATTGATTGCTTGGCATAAAAATTTTGTAATGGTGTTCTGTATACTGCACTTTTCATGTTTTATACACAATATGTTTTATCACACTATGTAATATAACTACACTATGTATAATATATAAAAGTAATAGAGAAATTAAGAATTAATTATTACTTCACGAGTTTCAAGATTTTTGACCGAATGTCTACTTAATGATTTGACGCGAAGACTGAAGAATGTAGAAAAGCTTTACCTTATATATATACAATTATAAACCCACATGTATATGATATAAAGTTACGTTAGAGTGGGGGAAAAAGATAATAAATATAAAAAGTGCAAATATAAAAACAATACATAACACTCTAACATTTTAGTGTGTTATGTATTGTTAGACATTATGTGATTGGGTGAAAGAATTATGTCATGGAAAATGCAGGAACACAATAATATACAAAAAGAGAGAGTGCTCTATACTTCTCGCCAGTATTACGAAATAGACCAAATCCTGTCCGTTTTTCCTCAGAAAAAATACTTTCTACTTTCTACTGAAAATGTTTGAATATGTTCAGTTTATGGTACTGAATACAGTATCTAATCACAACTTGAGAAATATGGAAAGGGCCAAGACAATGATAGAGACAGTTTATTAGAAATGGGGGATATTAAAAAGAAATAAATCGACTTTCTGATAATTGAATTTAAAAAAATAACGATTTTTCATAATCAATAATATCTCGAAAATATTGATAATAATCAATCTAAAACTTTTTAAATTAATTTAGTATTAAATACTTATTAAGTTTAAAATTTGACTTCGACCATATTTTATCTAACTTAATCGATCACTAATTTAATCGATCACTAAGTTAACTAAGTTGATCAATTAATTTTAAACAAATTATTCCAAAAGTCCATATATAATAAATGAGAATGAATAATTAATTTAGCAGGTAATTAGATTTTGTTATCATTATCTATATAAGAAATAAGTAAAGAATATAATATATACTACTTTGCAGAAATGTCTTCTTTCACATTTAAAATTAAAATATTTGAATTAAAATTATTGCACATTGCCTTTAAATATTTATAAAATAGTGAAAAAAGACTTGTAAACGTATTTTGTTTTTATTTATTTATTTAATTCTTGAAGTAAACTTTGAATAAAAAAATCATCAATTTGGCGAATATTTAAAAACATCGAGTAATTAATCAATTTCTTGACAAAAAGAGCATCGAACATTGATTAATCGATCTATTTTTACCCATCTTTATGACTCATGTAGGCCAGGATTATAAAGCAACTAATAATATATCTCCTTTCAACTTACTTGTTTTGCGTAATAAACTAGTAGAAATTACAATTTTATTTTATTTATTTCTTATTATTTATTAATAATATAATAATTTCAATTTTATGATATTTATACAAAAGTATTATATACTTAAAAGTTAGCATAACATATTAAGAATGTTTTCAATTTGTAACAAATACGTTACTATTCCCCTTCTCGCTAGATGAAATTTATCAATCAAGAAAATAGAAAGTAAAAAGTAGAAAGAGAGATCTGTGCTTATGCACTTACTTTTTCCTTTCTAAGTCTGCCAAGATGAAAAATCAAAAAAGTTTTGTCAAATGCTCCGTCCAATATTATATGTCAAGGCTTTCCAATTTAAGTTTTTCCAATTTGTTTAATTGAAATTATTTACGATTGAGCAATATTTGACGAGTAGAATATAAATGATATTTAAGAGAAACAAATGTTTCAGATGTTTTCAGATAATTAAAAAACTCTTTTCAGCTCTTTAAAGATAAATATTTCAGTGGTGATGTATTACAGAAAAAACTTATTGAATTATTTTTACTTAATGTTTACTTGATTGTGAAAACTTCTTTATTTTGTAAAATGTTCTGTACATTTTTAAATAAAATTGTATTTCAAAAAAGTTATACATTTTGTGTGAAGTTTTTATGACAGCATGTATTTATATATATATATATATATATATATATATATATATATATATATATATATATATATATATAG